AACCCATTATCTATGCTGGTTCGAGACAGCATCTGTACTTAAAGGCAGCACCAGGTAAAAATACCACGGGTGCTGTCAAGACAGACCCAGTAAGTCATCTTCCCTTGTGGACTGGAGGGAGGTCTGTCATGTTGGGCTGTGATCTCTTAAGAGGTAGCAGCCTGCTGCCGTTTCTGTTGCAAAGTGCAAGAGAGAATAAATTTTTCTGAAAGAGAATGCTAATTTTTACCAATTCCCATCCTTCTGCAGTTAAAGCAGGGTGTTTAGCCAGCCCTGAGTTGGCCGGTGCTCATCCATCTCTCCTGCTTACGTCTTGGATGGTCTCTTCAGTGAAGCTGGGGCCATTGCCTCCAAAAGGTGCACATACTGCTCATAAGAGAATAAGAAGAAACTTTCGTCTAGCATAGATTCATAGAATCAGAATGGTTTGGGCTGCAGGGGACCTTAAAGATAATCTCAATCCGACCCCTTCCACTAGACCAGGTTGATCAGAGAACCCCATTCAGCCTGGCCTTGAACACTTCCAGGGATGAGGCATCCACAACTTCTCTGGGTAACTTGTTCCAGTGCTTCATCACCCTCACAGTAAAGAATTTCTTCCTAATATCTAATCTAAACTTACTCTCTTTCAGTTTAAAGCTATTTACTCCTCATCCTGTCACTATATGCCCTTGTAGTAGCTTTCCTTAGGCTCTCTTTATGAACTGGAAGGCTGCTATAAGGAGTCTTATCTTCCTCAGCCTGAACAAATCCAACTCTCATTCTGACTTCATAGGAAAGTAGTTGTTGACTTCTTAAGAAATGTATCCAGTGTGACATCCCTGCTGTCAGGAAGGGGTCAGAGATGTGGGTTGAAGATGAAGGGATTCTCATTCACTAAATCCTCTTTATGACATGGAGAGAGTTGGAAGAGTTTGAGTGAAAAGTACATGCTGTCTGGGCTTTCCTTTAATGTTTAATTATGATGCTAGAGAGTTAAAAGATTGGGGCATTCTGGTTTTTTTCAGAAGAAAGTTTCAACTTTTCTTGTCCATCAAGATAATATTTGAAAATTCTAGTTTTCTTTCTGAACTTAGGAAAATACTTGTTGGTACTAGAAATGAACCAAAGGCTCCTCATTCATTCAGTAAGAATAACTAAAAATGTCCTTTATGATCTCCAGCATCAGGGCAAATTAACTTCTCAAGTGTTTCAAAATGTAGAAAGCAGATTCTCTAAAGGTTCAGGTGTTCATCTTACTACTTTTCTGTTGCTGGGCTACTTGCCTGACTAACACTAGTGCTGTCCTTGAGCAGGCACCCAGTTGCCTGACTGCAAGCAGAGTTTGTAAATCTCCAGGACACAGCAGGAATTTTCCACTGTCTTCATTTAAGGATGGTCATGCCTCTGCAGAATAAGCATCCAAAGATTAGACAGGAATATTAAAAAAAATTTTATGTCAACGTGGAAACAAAATTAACTATAAATCCAGAATATACTCTTTAGGTTTCTGGAAAAAGAGATTTATAATGACATGGGTGACTAAAGGGAAGAAAACAAAACTGAATGTAATTACAGTTTATTTCATGATAAGCTGCATTTTTTGGGACAGTTTTCTGCACACTTAGAAAGGGCAACTAGCCAGCTAAATTGCAGAGTGGAATTTAGAAGTGACAGGAGCCAGCACAAGGAACGTGACCATCGCTTGCAAATGGTAATGCACATTTCGTACAGCAGAAGTAACTTTTGTGCTTGAGCAAACCACTAGCAAGCCATTACCCATTGAGAGGGAAAAATACTTTTATCATGACTAAGGCAATATACATATTATTTTCAGGTGTTTCTCATGAGCCAGAGCAAATAATTCCCATAAAATATTGAAGTCAACAACTCTTGATGTAAACAAAAATTAATTAGGTCATTACAGGTTGCTAATTTCTGGTTTATGAGTGAGATAACAGTGGGATAAATAGGCTTAATTTTTGTTCAAGACTCTTTAAAGTTGGTCTGTTGATTTTCTGACCATAGCACAAGGTTCAATGTAGATTCCCCTGTTGCTAAGGTCTTAATGACTTCTAAAATACACTGATCAGCATTTAGTGAGTCTTGAAAACAATTTCTCTCTTTCTTTTTTCTGAAACAGGGTCTCCAAGCACCTTAAGTCAGTGTGATATGTGTACATAAAATAATCATTGCACTGCAAAAAGAGGAATGTTTTATTTGCTGTCCTTTTGAAACAAGTAAATAGCTTTATCTGACTGTGCACTGAGAATTAGTAGCAAAACTGTATGCTTTACAAAATATAGCTACATTTATTATTTACATGATTAATTAGGAGTCGGCAGGATTTGAAAGTAAGTTTCTTTCCCGTGCTATCTCAAAAAAATATTTCTTGATATGATGCTTGTTTACTGCAGTTGTCTTGGCCTTGATTAAAAAATTGATGTCTGAACTAAGAATGGAATGTGTATTTGCTACATGCCACCTGCAAAAATAATTTTAAAATTGTATACACTCGTTATATTTAAATTAATCTCTTCTTTCTTGGCTTCTAGTTGTATGAAATAGTTTTATAGTTAAAAGAGAATTTGCATAATGCTTTTAAAAGTCTTAATAGCTATAATAATTTCAAACTACTATAGAGTGTTTATAATATATAGTAAGCTGAAGCATTTAATTGTGCAAAAAGGAATATTAAGGTACATCTAACCAAAAGAGTAATGGCAATATTAAGTATGAGGGGTTTTGTTATTTTTTTCCTAATTGCATCTGGACATCCAATTTTATTACTTCTTTCAAAGCCCAAATGACCATGAAAAATGAGGTTAAATCTTCACCATCAGAGATAAGCTGAAATAAGCTCTATGCAGGTGTTTTATTTAGTGTCCTTTCTGGGGTTCTACCAGTTGGCTCTGCTGAGATCTGATTCTTCCCCTAGTCAATGAATTAATGTTTTCCCATTCACTTTATTTCGGTCAGGTTCAGGGCTTCAGTTATGATTGGTGGGTTTTATTTATTTACTGGAATATGAGAGACAAAAATATGAGTCATTATCTTCAATGTGCTATTTAGTCAAGGATCAATCTCATCAAGAGGTGCAGCAGATCTGACATAAAGGACCTGCAGCTGTCCCAGAACAAAACACACATTGCACATAATAACAGCCCCAAGCAGCTTTCCCCTATCAAGTGTCCAGGCAAGATACCATAGCATACAATCAATGCAAATCTCCAAGCATAATGTAATATGGCCATTTTTCAAGGATTTGATGCAATTCATCCTTTCAAGCAGACATTTTTTTTTTCATTTTTCTAATGATGATTTGAAGTGGCAAAGTCATTTCTTTGGAAACTATAGAATTTTATGACATCTTTGTCAGGAAAACATCACTTTGGTTCAATCTTTCTATTTTTGCAAGATTAGGTAAAATCTTGTAGCTGTACAACGAAGCCTGCAAGATGGTAAGGAAGGGCAAGAAGATTTCTACCCTGCCATATGTTTGTGCTGAGTTAACTTAGGAAGATTCTGCTGTACTGGCTTTGTTTTTAAGTGCTGTAAATAGAGAAGAGAATTTCCTATTTTATCAAAAATTCTAACATGTAAATAATATGTTCTACATTGGGGAAAAAAATTTATATTTAGCATTTTTCATAAAACAAAAAGTTCTGAAATTGTTTGGTGGTTTTTTCCTTAATTTGAGGCTCAAAATATCTATGTTAGTGTGATTATTTTTATTATGTTTTCTTAATATTTTTAGCATATTTAGGTTTCCTTTATTTAATGTGAAAATAACTTCAACATTTTTGACATGAAGCTTTTGATTTTAAACAAACAGTTTATCTTTACTCTTTTGAACAACTTTGCATTTTACTTCTTATTGTCATTGTGCTGATTAATTTTCTCCACATTTTAGTACAAATCAATGAAAATCGTTGAACTTTTCTATTAATCCATTGTACAAATTCAGAATCTACATCTCCATGATGTTTTCCACTGCCTCTGTTCATAAGGAAAGATCAATACACACATATGGATTTATTTTTTAAACATTATGTGTTCTTCAATATGAGAGTAATGTAATCTATGTTCTGAAGCTAGAATCTGGTAGGATTCACCTGGGAAATAACTTACATAATTACAGCATGGTAGTCTCATCTTTTATCACTGAAGGCAAGGCAGGAATTTTTTTTAGAGACAATGATGATGTGTTTTATAACACTAAGGGCTGAACATAAATGCAAATAAATTAGGGGCTTCACTGCATATTTGCAATTTATTACCTAGTCCAGTTTCACCTACCAGCAGGAATACCATAAGGAAAGTAATTCTCTATTAGATCCCTGACTCTTACTTTGGGACTGTAGGAAAAGAAAAAATACCTAGGCATAACAGAGTTCTGGCTTGCTCCACACACTTGAAAGTTTTACTGTTTATGAATGTCAAGTCTGAGTAGCATTCCAAGTTTGTTCCCTCTGCTCCTTTCTTACCATTCACATTACACATTTTTGGAAGTAGAGCTCATGGGTGCCTGAATACACACACACCATAGAACTTCTGTTTAAAAAGCTCTTTATTGTAACATCCCTTTATCTAATTTATAAAAATAAACTGGCTGACATAATTGATGGTATACTGTAGCTTATAGCCCAGAGTGCATTGTTTTAGTAATAACTTTTATTTCTGTAGTGACTCAGATGCTTTGCTCAGGGGTGTAAAAACAGTGTTTCTCCATGCCTTCGCAGTATAAACAGTCTTGCATAAGCTTTGCAGAGGCATTGATGCAAGTGAACACATTCAGTCATGTTCTTCTGTCCATATGGCATTCAGTTCCCTGATTGCATGTTGCAGCCTTGTCTTTGTAGACAGAATCAGCTGAACTTGCAAATCTTTTCATCATTTTTTATGGCACTGATGTCATTGTTCAGCAAAGAAAGTCACGTCTTGGAACACAGAGAAGCTGGGGCACAAGTGAGGATTCCTAAAGTCAAACTGAATGTGCTTGTGTGGAAGAAATTAAAACAGCAGCATCCTCTGCTGGGAATGGCATTGTAAAATCAGGTCTTGCAGTGTGGGTGCTTGAAATTTGAGTGTTTTATTGAGGTTATGACGGAGAAGTTTTGGAGACATCTCTGATAATTTTCTGCCTTCACTAACTTTCTACTATTTGTTTATTTATTTATTTACAGGAGCTGTTTACCTGCATGCCCATCTGTTTGGCCTTTGAAATACTTATACCTGTAAGTAGTCGACCTGCAACAGGCTGAAATTCTTTTGGTTTTCCTACCGTTCTCTTTTGTTTCTTCTCCCTCTTCTGTTTTTTAAGACAAGGTACATTCTTGTAGAAATCTCCACCTGAAAATATTCACGTTTAGTGTTACATTTAACTGTCAGATATTCTGAAGGATTTTAATAAGCTTACTTCTGTTTTAAGAATAGCCATATCCGGATGGAAAGATGTTTTCAGGTTGTAAGACCCTTTTAAATTGTTCCTTTGAGTGGGTGACTCAGAAGTAGCCTATTTTTATTGCTTCATCGTGCAACAAGAACAAAAGTGCCTTTATGTTTCCTTAAGATATAACATAGTTTGAAGTGTTTGAAAACTGCATGCTGAAAATTCTCCATTTCTGGCTTTCCTCTGAATCCAAACAGTGTGCCAATGCCTGGTGCTCCAGATACATGCAAATGTATGTGCACCTGTCTGCAGTGGAGCTCTTCACATTGATAGAAATGTTGCTGTTTACTTCAGTGATTGCCCATTGAAATAATGATAGTACATTTATATTTAGATAGTATCATCTATTTCAAATGATCTTGAAGAATGTTATTATCGTTAAGACTTTCTGTCAGTCATGAGGAATCCCTAGGGATTTCAGTGCATCATGTTGTTTGGATTTCATCACACGACTGGAGATATGGAGATTTGGGGATTTGGGGAATGATCTCTTGAGTCAATTTGCAATCTTCATCACTATAAATGGAAAAATCTTTTCCAATTGTTGAACTTTGACATGTTTTTGTTAACAATGAAGCAAATTCCAACCAAAGCAGATGACAAAATGGGTGAAAAATGGAAGGGACAAGGGGGCTGAAAGAGCAGTGGTCAGAGGTGCAAAGTCCATCTGGAAGGTGGCTATCAGTGTCATGCTTCAGGGCCTGACACTGGGGACAGGACTATGTCATGTCTTTATTAACAACCTAGAATGCAGGATGAAGTATTCCATCAGATTTTCAGATGATACCAGGTTGTGGGAAGTCTGTACAATGGAAAGCAGATACTCAGAAGTAGCTAAATAAGATGAGAAAGTGGGCTGATAGTAACTTCATGGAGTATGACAGATCCAAGTGTAAAGTCCATAAATGGGATGGAGAACTCCATAGTCAGACCAGGTGGAGAGCTAAACAGCTAGAAAGTCGCTTGGCATGAAAAAACCCAGGGAGGTCCTTGTGAAAAGCAATATGAAGGGGAATCATCAGTGTGCCTTTGGAGCAGATGTCAGTGGCATTCTGGGCTGTATTAATTTGGCCAAGGGAGAGGATCCTTCCTCTCTGCTCAGCACTGGATCCAGTGCTGGGCTCACCAGTATAAAATAAATCAAGATATACTGGATTGAGGCTTGTGTAGAGCCACTGAGATAGTGCGAGACTGCAGCATGAGGCATATGAAGATGAGCTGGGGTCGTTCAGTCTGGAAAAGATAAAGAGGGATTTTATTTCTGTCTACAGGTGCTTAATGGGATTGTGTGGAGGAGCTGGGGACTGACTTTTCTCAGTGGAAATCAGTAGAAGGGTTAGAGGCAATGGGCAATATTTCAGATCATTGTGATGAATTGTCCAAAACAGTCATATACACATAAACTTTAGATCCATAAATACCTTCCAAAAGTTCTATTTTGAAGGAATTTGGAACTGTATATATCCAAGAAAACTACTGCTTTCTCATCAAGTATAGTTGAAACTGCATTAATATTACATACATTATTATGTGTGCCAAATTAAATAATTTTTTAAAGTATTTTACATATGTACATATAAACTGTATAATTTTATTTAAATACCTTAAGTACAGTTATTCTGTATTTAGAAATTACTGTGTTCTTTTTGAGTATTGAAAGTTCTTTTATTTTGATTTAAAGCCTGCTAGTCTAAACTATAAAAACCCTTTTCAATGTAAAGTAATAATTTCTAAATATTTTTTTCTAGAATGTAAGGGATTATTTTTTTTCTTTAACAAGCTAAATTCTAAGCTTGTCTAGAGCTAAGCTGCATTTGTTCAAGTTACAAATGAGGGGAGAAGAAAATACAAAATGATGTTTCTAAAGAAAATTCAAATTTTTACCTTCTTCGTGTAAATGGAAATCCTTTGTGGAAAAACATGCATAAGATTTTTAAAGAGAGGGGCAAAGTCTAGCATTACAGCTGTTCTATAATGACTAGTGGTTATTAAAGGGCTTTCCAGAGCATTGCCTTTCTAACATTGAAAACAAGTATTTACCAGATCCAAACAATATTCTTTTAGTCCCGTGTGCCATTTAAAAAGGATTCAAAGTTGAACTAAATACTCCTAGAGCCATTAATAGCTGTGGTTGCATTAGCAGTATTAGAGCCACAAGGCAGTCACTGCACGTGCTAGAGGTGTGCCCAAACTCACAAGTGCCGCCGCAGAGAACAGTGAGTGCCTGCGCAACAACTCTTCCCTTCTCCGCTGCCTCTGAGGGGCCCTGGGCAAAGGTGACAGCTGTTGATGGAGGTTTAGACGATGGAGAAGGAAATCCATAATCACAGGTTGTGGTTCTGCTTTGGAGATGCTCTGCCCTTTCACAGCCTGGCCACATGGCTTTGTGCCGTACGTAATCGAGGCCATCCTGCCTCAGCGAGAGAAAGGAATGTAGAAAGCAAGGTTGGGATACATAAGGCACGTTCATTACTGGACATCCTAACCCTGCCTCTTCCCGTGACAGGCATAAGAGCACAGGGTATGTAAGTTAATAAAGTGGTGTTAAAATCTTACAGTGAATTTCACTTCAGATTACTGGGTGATTTGTGATACTCTGCTTCAAATAATTTACAGAGGAAATGTGCCATTTCACTGTACTTCAAAGACTAGTTTTCTTTCGATGCTTTAACTCTTAGCACTGTTGACCTTTTGTGTTAAATTACAGCAGTCCTTTTTCAGGCTACTTTTTCCTTATCTTTGGCCTTCTTTTGGAAAAGGCAATACTTCTAGAGAAAATACATGTTTTATTACTCCACCACCTTCCAAACTTCAAGGAATAGAGCCCATCTATTGTGCTATAAGACAATAAGTATTGTCCTATATAGGACAAAGTAGTGATTTCTTAGACGCTTATTAACAGAATTGAGTGAAAACTGAAAAATATATCAATAATAACCTGTTGATGAATGTAAGAATGAGTAGTTGAGTTTCACCTTTACCCCTCTTCTAGCTTTTAGCAAGCATCATCTTACATTACCATTAACTCTGCAGAAAAGGCAGAAATATGCTTGGCACTCAATGACATTATAGTCTCCTCTAATAAATTCCTCTGAAAGAGTATTTTAAATTCACAGATTTGAATCCTTATACCAAAAGTAGTTTGGATAGGACACCACTGTAGGGGAAGTGTTGGATCCCTTCTGAAAGTGAACCCCTTAAAAAACCTACAACGATCATCTCTCTGCTTTCTTTGCACCTTGGACTGTAATATTATGAAGCACATAATAATGAAAGAAAAAACTTAATATAAGGAATTTTACAGTAGCTTATTAAAAAAAAAAAAAAGTCTCCAGAAAAGCAGGTAGATGCCTAGAAAAAAAGAAAAAAAAACACAAAAAAACCCACCAACCCCCCCCCCAAACAAAACCAAAAAATCCACCAAAAAAATAAGAAAGAAAACCAAAAAAAAAAACCCAAACCACAAAACCACTCACATAATATTCATGGCCTTTCCTTACTATGTTTGGATAGATTTTTAAAGTAGCTTCCTCTTCATAGCTAACCCAGAGATTTGTCAGCTTATTTCAGGTCACTCTTATGAATAGATTCATATACTCACAGAGCAAAAACTACTCAGTGATTCTCACACCACTCAGATACAACTAAAATTGTATTAAGATACCACTAAAATTTGTCCTGCTCCCATAGGAGATTTGTGAGAAAACAGTGAGGAAGCCAATAACATGCAGTGGCACAAAAGGCACCAATTACATGTTTATGTCTTCAGCATTTGTCTGGCAAAGCCATTTCCAAGAGCAAGGAAGTTCCTTGAATAGATTTCAATCTTCTGGTGTGGAAGCACCATGCTGGCACTTCCAGAGGGATTTCCAATGTCTTTTCATTCACCAAGAGACTGGTCAGTCTTTTCTTACTGTGTTCAACTTGTAGTGGAGAAATATCATGCTAACTGTTGAGGGGCCAAATTGACTCTTCAGGAGGGTAATGCTATGGTAGCTAAGAAAGGCTGGACCATGGTGTACAGATTTAAATGATAAATGAAACCCTGAGGTCTCATAAGGGATGAGAATGGGCTTTGAGCTGCGTAGAAAATGGTAAACCTTGAAGAGGAAGCTGTGTACCAAAGGAAAGCATTAATGTGACACTTTTTGAAAAAATATCCAATTCTAAATATGTTCCTCAATGTGTGTTAAAAATGAGCTGTATCATTCATTTTGCAGCAGTCCTCACCACTAGTGGTAAGTGAATCCCTCCCATGTATTTTTGTCTTTCTCTTATAAGTGCTTTTCAGGCATTTTGTCATGGTTGAACACAAATACTTTGCTGTTCAGTGTTTCTGTACTCCCTTCCGAAAGTATATGACACAATCCATATACCTAAGTCTTAAGCCGTGCACAGTCTTATAAGACTTTTATTGGTCTGTATAATCCACAGTAAAGATCTGTTCTATACAACCATTTTTATGGCTGAGTATTTGGTTGAGTCCGAGTTCTCCAGTCACAACCAAAAGTTTCTCTACTTAAGAAGGGTGGAGAGAAGCAGTCTTTGAGGCTGGATACCTAAGTCACTGCTGTATGGAATAGGGACCTAAATTTGCTGTCTTTTCCTTTTGTGATGTCATCACATTCCATCAAAAGCTATAAACATTCATAGAAAAATAGCAAAGTGTCTATTATATGCACAGGCTGCCAGTGTACTGAGAGATAATTTTGGGAAAGCTAAGCCTGAGAAGAAAAACGACATAAAAGCTGGGCCACCTGTTGGGGAAAGTTAGCGAGCATTCAG